ACACCTCAGCAAGCGAGAGTCCAAAAGTGGCAGGCTCAAACCCAGAACCTCAACCAATGGCTGATACCAAATGAGAGACTCCCCCCTGGGCACACAGAGGACTGAGCGACTTGGAAGGCGCTGAACAGACTGCGCTCTGGCACCACGAGATGCAGAGCCAACCTTCAGAAATGGGGCTACAAAGTGGAATCCATGGCATGCGGTGTGGAGAAGAGCAAAACACTGTCCACCTGCTGCAATGCAACCTGAGCCCTGCCACATGCACAATGGAGGACCTTCTTGCGGCAACACCAGAAGCACTCCAAGTGGCCAGATACTGGTCAAAGGACATTTAATCAACTACCACACTCACAAATTTTGTATTTTGTCTGTTTGTTTACTTTGTTCTGTTAGAAATGTAATATAATTTGACTGGTTGTCCTGACACGACAAATATAAATACATTCTGTAGATTTAATGGGTGTAAACTAGTTCAGGCTAACATAATGTGTAGTTGCTCGAGGAAGGGACTGAAATCTTCAGCACTTTAATGTAAGTGTTGACAGACAATTAAAAAGTATCTCCAGCTTTCTTACCCGTTCCCTGCGAACTAGTATATTGACTCCTGTTCCTGAACAGGGACAGAAGAAGGCACTGTCTGTTTTCTATTATATATTTCCATATGTTGGGTATTATGATTCATCCTTGCCTCTTGGTTCATTTGGTTTCTTCTTACATTCCCTTAGCATGATTTTCACATTTCCTGTTTTAAAACAAGCTGAATTTGGCAGCGATTCTAAGCAAACAATAAGGTTGTTAGCTGGCCTTAGATATGTCTGTTGATCTCATTTCCCCATATGTTATTGGGCTAGTACTGACCTGTTTTATAGTGTTGTAGTATAGCACACATATGAAGGAGTTTCAGTACTCTAAAAGCATTATAAAATGCACAGCTTGTTATGTATATATCAACTGGCAGGGCAAATTATCTACACATTTCAAGATGAGAAGAAGCTTAAGCTCTTTTGACCCCAGCCTTGAGTTCTGTGCTTTGAGTTCTGTGCTACAGCTCAAACTATGCTGGTGGTTCTGGTTAACCTATTAGCTGAAATTGATTTATGGATTGACATATAAGGTGGGTTATAAGTCAAATGAATAAAATGGATCAATGAATGAAAGGATTTGCTTTAGTGATAATCACTGTTTCCAAAACTGATAACTAATACACAATTAGAATAAACAAGGATGAAAAGACTTGTATGTTTCCATATGCTCTTTAATACGTTTTACAGTTACAGTTGTTGATTCAATGTCTTTAGCATCAGAAGGACATAAAAAAGGAAGAGGGGGGGACTAATGCTATTGAACAAATCTTAGGCAGGATACAACCCTATGACACGCCAGGATTGTTGTGTTCCTTCAAGTCATCAAACTACAAGAGAGGAGATTCCATCTGAACATGAGGAAGAACTTCCTGACTGTGACAGCCGTTCAGCAGTGGAACTCTCTACCCCGGAGTGTGGTGGAGGCTCCTTCTTTGGAAGCTTTTAAACAGAGGCTGGATGGCCATCTGTCAGGGGTGATTTGAATGCAATATATCTGCTTCTTGGCAGGGGGTTGGACTGGATGGCCCATGAGGTCTCTTCCAACTCTTTGATTCTATGATTCTATGATGTCTGACTTATGGTGATTCTATTATGCAATTTTCTGGGCAAGATTCATTGAGAGGATTTCCAGTGCAGAGTGGGACTTGCACCCTGGTCTCCAGAATCCTAGTTGAAGTCTCAAACCTACTTCACCATGCTGGCAGGATACCAGATGGAAATACAGGGTTTTTAAAAATGGAACACATTATTACCTGGATTAATGGAATGGATAATGTTCTTTTAAAACCCAATAACACTGAGATGTTTGGAGCTGATTGTTAGTAAATCTTTCTTTTGGCTTTTGTTTTTAAATGCTGGGAGGTTTTGGGGCCACAACTTCTTATATATATATAAAAATGCATCAAATAAGTTTATTTACTAGAATAAGGACAGTGCAAAATAATTTCCACCTAGAAGCCAATGGCCAACTTAAACTGATTGAATTGTGTGTAAAGCAAATGAATAATTTGTATGATCCAGGATCTCAAGAACTGAGCTATTAAAAACGATATCAAAATTGTACAAAATAAGAAATTATATCAGATTTGTAAAATGCTTTGTACTGTATTGTCCTGCAAATGTTATTAATATGCTGCTTAAATGAGTCTTCCCTGGCTACGAAGTGTTTTTTTGAAACAAAATTTTTTGAAATACAACAAAAATATTGGGTAACTGATATTATGTTATTGTGGAGAAATGTTAGTAAATCTATTAAAATGATACATTCTGAGTCTTATTTTCTCCTTCTCTCTTACTGGAATGTGTGGCCAAAGTTCCCTTTCCTTTATCTAAGCTGACAATGCACTTTTGAAGCATAACGTGTAATGTGGTCTTTGATTTCAGACTACACAAACTGATGAGTTGGCTTAGGAATTCTGGACGCTGTTAGCTGATGTTTTCGTTTTGTTCTTGTTGAATTGTGACCTTTCTAAGTGGGTGGAGCACTAATGTGCTGGTTTCAAAGAGGCAAGCAGCTAGTTTTACAGTGTAAATTACAGTGCAATTGTTGTTTTTTAAAATATTTCTTTCCTCAGCACATTCTGACACAAGTTTCTAATTCTGTACTTACTATTTAAACCGACAATTTTGAGCATGATTTTGTACCATGTCAGTTGGCCTGACACATTTGTTGAGAGTCACAATAAACAAAGGTCTGATCATTCATCTCAAAAATTGTGACATTAAAAAAAGTGTTTTGAATTCAGGTGCCCAGTGCAACTGTTGTATGCCATCAGGTCCTTTAAAGCAACCCTAAAGTAAACCTATCATAGGGTTTTTTGAGGTTGAGGGAGTGTGATTTCCCAAAGGTCACCAGGTGGATTTCCATGATTTAGTGGAGATTTGAATCTTCGTCCCCAGTTTTAATCCAACATGCAAACCACTATGCCACACTGTTTCTTTAAGTCTTTCTTTCAATCAGTGGTTCCCTACCTTTTTTTGACCAGGGACCACTCTCCAACATTAGTACCAAAAGGCTTACGAATCAGTTTATGGTCAACTTTAGATCGGTTTGGTTATTTGGGGTGCTGATTCAGAAAATTGCATTGGATAGACCACAGCATCTCTAGTTTCTTGTTCAAAACATATGCCATCCGGTAGTCGCCATCTGCTTGCCCACAGAAAACCAGATTTAATAAGCCTCGGCACTGTAAGAGGGTTTCGTGATATAAGTTCTTGTTGCAACGGTGTAGTAACGGTGAGGCAGCAGACCATATGTTAGTTCTTGCAGACCACTGGTGTTCTACGGATCACAGGTTGGAAACCACTGCTTGGCATTCTGGTTCCATGGAACTGAAAGGCTTTTGCTTCTTGGCAGGGGGTTGGACTGGATGGCCCATGAGGTCTCTTCCAACTCTACGATTCTATGAAAAGTCATGTTTATCATGGATCAGGTGCTTGTCCAAGCCATCTGCTTCCATGCTACCTTAGCCATATAAGCTATGCTTGTCATACTGGCTATTATGCCAGCATAATTCTCCAATAAAATCCCAATTAGAGTGGTGGAGGGAATAGTTTTATATATAACTAGCTGTCCCCTGCCACACGTTGCTGTGGCCCAGTCTAGTGATGAGAAGAAAGTAATGAGAAAATGTTGGTTTCTAATACATGTGATTTCTTTATGCTTGTGGGTAAACAGTATTTCTTGCTGTTTCTTTGTCAGTGTTGATGTGTAAATTGTCTGATTTGCCTACTCTGGAACATGCAACATATAATTGTCCTTCTTTAGGGGTCCCTTTCATATCTATATCTCTGTGAGTATGAATCATATCTATCTATATCTATGGCTGGAGGGCTCTTTGTCAGGAGGGCTTTGATTACGTTCTCTTTCCCTGCTGAAGGGAGTTGGACTGGATTGCCTTAAGTATTTTCTGTTGGTCCTGGGGGTTCTGTGTGGGTAGTTTGCCCCAATTCTGTCATTGGTGGGGTTCAGAATGCTCTTTGATTGTAGGTGAAGTAAATCCCAGTACCTACAACTCTCAAATGTGAATGTCTATTTTTCCCAAACTCCATCTGTGTTCATATTTGGGCATATGGAATATTTGTGCAAAGTTTGGTCCAGATCCATCATGGTTTGAGTCCATAGTGCTCTCTGGATGTAGGTGAACTGCAACTCCCAAACTCAAGGTCAATGCCCAACAAACCCTTCTGGTGTTTTCTGTTGGTCATGGGAGTCCTGTATGCCATGTTTGGTTCAATTCCATCACTGATGGAGTTCATAGTGCTCTTTGAGTGTATGTTAACTATAAATTCCAGCAACTACAACTCCCAAATGACAAAATTATTTTTTTTTTAGTGATAGTCACTCTTTAGGTGTCTTGTGGCCAAATTTGGCGGCAATTCGTCCAGTAGTTTTTATGTTAATCCCACAAACGAACATTACATTTTTATTTATATAGATGGTACAGATTCCGTTTGTTAGACTTGACTTGAGTAATGGGATTCGTGTAAGTAACTTACCATTTAGGCATTGATTCAGTGAATCTATTCTAGTTGGATCTAGCAATGTGATTTAGACCAGGATATAATTTAGATATAGATATAGGTATAATAAATATTCACGTTTATTAACACAAACATGTAAATGTTGAGTTTAAATGGATTGTATCCAGACTGAGTTCAGCTAACAGTTACATTGAAATAAATGGGCAAATTAATACATTAATGGAATTCCTATTTATTTTAGAACATGCAGGTAAACTTAATATGCGCCCATCCCCATAAGAATGGGCTTATAATATTGTTATCAAAATAGTTGTGATATTAAGTAACAATTTGTGTCCTTACAAATTATGATTTTAATCAATTAAGAATGTGCATGCTGTATAAATGCTTAATGACCTTTATTCTAACAATCAAGTTGTGGTTGTTTTCTAGGCGTGTTTTGACTGTGGAGCAAAAAATCCAAGTTGGGCAAGCATAACATATGGTGTCTTCCTGTGTATTGATTGCTCTGGGACCCATCGTTCTCTTGGAGTTCATTTGACTTTTATTAGGTGAGTAATTTGTTTTTCTTTGGGGATGCCTTCCTTTGTTAATGATTTGCTTTCAATTTTCCCCATTTTGCGATAAAGGTGGTTGTAAATAACTTGTACCTATCTCTTTCGCCTGTTAGTTTTAAGAAAACTGCTTTGTTCTCATAGTAAATAACTAGAAACCTTTGTAATGGTTGTGCCATATTTCAGAATGTCTGGATTGAGGTTGAAGTTCAGATAACATTTACGTTTGGTTTTAGTGGCTCTGACCTCTGTGCTTTTCTTATTCTATTTTTTAGTGTTCAGTCTTAAGCATTGTGGAATAAGCATTGTGTCTGCGGCAACTACTGCATTTTTCTAGATTTTCCAGGGAGACTGAAGATTTCAGTTAGCCTTCAAATTAATTTTGGATGTAAACAAAGTTGGGGTTCATTTCCATAACATTTATTTGTCTTATTTTTTATTTCCTTGAACATTATTGTGAATGTCATTCCTATATCCCACAAATCCAGTAAAAAGCAATCATGTCCAAAAGTTGAAGATTAGAGAGCATACCTTGAATATTAGTGTTCCCAAAGTAGTTCTTGTTGATTCAGTTCCTGTAAAAGATTATCAACTGCTCTAAGCAGATAATTTTGTCATCAGTAATGTACAGTTTGGGTTTTGATTTTTAAAATTTAAAATATCTTCAGTAATTCATTTTACTCTCCTTAGACATATGGTTCAACATTGAAGCATTTATTATACCAGAAGTCCTTCCTAGCAACTAGGGGCATGTAATACCAAGATGCAGAGTGACTTTCATTTAGCTGGACATCCTTCAGCTTCGGGCTTTTTCTGATGGCAAGATGTAGGCAAGACAGAAGAAGTCCTTTCCTCAGGCCTCAAGTGTTAGTGGTGTGAATGCCCTTCTTTCAATTTAAAAATAAGCATTCTGATCTCCAAGAAAGGCAAAGTATGTACTTTTTCATACCTTTGGTAAGACAACCTCCCCCAATGCCATTTCAGGGCCAAAAGTCTTGCATGGTAGTTTTGCACTGAAAAGAACTCAAATGACCATCTTCTGTTATTGTACGTAGACACAGCTTTTCCAGCATTTGAATATATGTTGTGTAGATTTCACTTCTTATATCCAGTTACTTGTATATTTGGTTATCTTTTTATGAATTATATATCCTAGAAGTTTGATATGGTTGTATTTTAAGTTTGTTAACCTGCTTAATGTATGTTAAACTTTTTCTTCAGCGCAGTCTCTGTGGATCACACAAATAAGTTATCCTGCATATAAATAAAATAAACGGTTGCTTTTTAAAGCTTTATCCAAGTTTTAAATTGTTCTGAAAACTGTGATTAGAATTTTGTGTTTATTTTTTGTTTCTTTAGGTCTACAGAATTAGATTCTAACTGGTCATGGTATCAACTGAGATGTATGCAAGTTGGAGGAAATGCAAATGCTGTAAGTTTATTATTCATTATATAATGATAGAGTTGGGTGCAGAGGCCCTGCTCTCGGTCCCGCCTGCTTCACAAGCATGGCTGGTGGAGACGAGAGACAGGGCCTTCTCAGTGGTGGTCCCTCGGTTGTGGACCTCCCTCCCTAGGGACATCAGATCAGCCCCCTCCCTACTATCCTTCTATTTAAGGGGTTATAAAGGAGGGATATAAATTGCATTGCTGATCTTAAAATGTTTGCATACATACAAACATATACCAGAAAAAGAATCAGAATGAAGCCTGAAAAAAGAAAGGGAAGAAGAGCAAGGAAAACAACCTGCTTATTAGGGTCCCAGCTTGAAGGCAGTGAGAATAATTTTGACATTGTATTAATCTGTTGAAAGCACACACTGACCTTTTTGGTAGAGAATAAGGTACAAATGCTCATGATTTCACTTACTGTGCGTTTGCATTCATATTAGAACATGTTCATCCACAAATGTATTTTAGTTACTCATGCTACCTGTACTTTCTTTATAGTCTGGCTTTTTTCATCAACATGGTTGTACAACAAATGATACCAATGCCAAGTATAGTAGCCGTGCTGCTCACCTTTATAGGGAAAAGATTAAATCCCTAGCAACTCATGCAACACGCAAGTACGGTACTGAAGTAAGTAATCTTGATTTCTGTTTTGTTCTGTTCCTGGACAAATGTCTTGCATCTGGTTAGTTTGCAACGGAAAAGTTTAATACATAATGCATTTATATGTATAGTACACTCTAGGTCAAATGTATCTACTAATACTAAAGTCGATCTGAAAAGGTAAAATGTCATATTGCAATGAATGCATTGCACATCCCATGTGTCAAATTACGCATTGTCAGCTCCAGAGGAAGGCAAGGGGAAACTCTCTGTAAAAAATATGCCAAGAAAATATCTTGATAGGTTTGGCTTAGGGTTGACAAAATAAATGATCTGTAGACACGCAGCAGTGACACACACTTTCTCAAAGGTTTTTTTAAACTAAAATTTTACTAAAGTTCATTACAGTAGCTGGTACATTGCTATTGTTGGTGGTTGAATATAAGTAGAAATAACCCACACAATCAGAAGGGATTTAAGGGATTTAATAAGCGAACATTATACACTCAGGAACCAGTACTAGAGAAGGTGATTTCTTTTAAATTGATAGATGCAACACTAAAGCCAGTAGTATCTCATCCTGTTAATGTAACAAATAACTTGTTTTATTGTACTAAATTGATGTATATTTTAATAAGTAGTTGTGTATTTTGAAATGTGGAAAGGTAAATATTCTGAAAGTGGGTATTTATGCTGTATCTTTTGCAAATGGTTATTTGTACCATACAACTTTGTGTTCTATTGTATAACTTCTTAATGCAGGTTCAGTATCAGTTCTAATACCCTCCTCCATTTAGCCATTCTCCATTTCCCTATTTTCCCTTAATTTCCCATTCATTCTTCTAACTTTGAGTTGTCAAGTTTGTATCACAGTTTGTATCCCAGTTTGTAAATATCTTGTAATCTTGTGCTTGGTACTGATGGCAGGGAGGGCCTTGTTCATTCTGCCCTCTCACAATTACCAAAATACTATTCTTACAATACGTGGAATCATCCTGAGAAATTGCAAAAAGCATACCACCATAATTGAACTTTTTAAGAGGATGAGACTTGAGCAAGAAGGCTGTTGTCAGTTGTCAAGTGAAACATGTAGGGAGAACTTAATATTCTCTACAGAGAATTAGTCAATTGATTGTAAATTTGATGGCTAAGTGTTTTTCTCACCATAATATGAAGAGACTAGTTTGCAACCAAATATTGAAGTCAGAGAAGAACAGAGGAAGCTTCCTTATACTGAATCTTACCATAGGTTCCTTTAGACCAGTATTGTCAGCAGCTTTTCCAGACTTTCAGGGAATTTTTTCCCTATCCCCACCAAGTATTCCTTATTCTTCCATTCAAGTACCAACCAGATTTAACCCCGTGTATCTTCGAAAATCAGATGTTATTTAGTGTGCTTTTAGCCCTTCGGGATTGGGACTGATTGCAATAAAATGAGGTACTTGGGAATTCTATTTCTTGTGTCTAGTTTGTAGATTGTGGAAGTTCACAAAACTGTTTTCCTTTCAGTGTCTCCGCTGTTTCTTTCAATTGAAATCTGTACTTAGCAAACATAGCAAGAGAATCCTAGAGTTTGTAGACATCACTTTATTTTTGTAGCTCTCTGTTATTTTCCAGTTATTAGATTTTTGACTTCCTAAATCACTACTAGATAGAATACATTCGACTAAGTTCTGTTTTTACATCTGCAATCATTGCAGAGTTGGTTGATAGTTATTGTTCCGTTGAAATGTATGAATACCAGTGCAGCTTTCTGGGAGCTTAGCAGCTGCAATGTTATGCTCCACAAACCAATAGAATTGAAATGTTTAATCTTAAATGCATCTGTTCTGTTTGCAATGATCTTTGAACTGCGACATAATGACTTTCTTGTCTGAGAATTATCTAGACCTTTATTGGTAGAAGGATGTGTGCCGTTCTTAAGAAAAGTTCTGGATGTGCTGCTACTTGTGACTTTAAAATAAATGGAGGGAACACTCTGAAATGACATGCTGTGTTTGTTCTAGTTATGGATAGATGGCTGTGGAGCCCCTCCCCTGTCACCTCAGGAAAAAGAGGAAGACTTCTTTGCCTCACACGTTTCTCCTCGGGTATAGAGAAATTGAATTTTTGCTTCTTACATCTTTATGCTTTTTCCAAATGGCAACATTTCAATGTTAGTTTTGATCTGTGTTCTCTGGGTCCAAGTTCTGTTTCACCACTGCATTTTGAGGGGTTTGAGCCTGTATAGTGTTGAACATTTTCTGTGGACACCACGTTGATGTGCTTACAAATTATTCATATCTAGGAACCTCACAATCCCTAATCTTCTCCTTGTCACTGGTGGTAGGAAGAGTATTGCCCATTGAGTCATAAGTGAATTGCATGCTTGCATTGACTATTGCTACCTTATTATTTACTCTAAATGTAGATGTGATCAGGTGTTAATTCTGAGTTATACTGATCTTTAAACCCTTCTAAATAGTTACTGTATTGTTGGGGTGGTAGCCTTTATATGTAAGCAAAATGTTTGCAAATTAACAGTTAAACATTCAAGTGCTGCAAATTATAGCATAACGTTTTGTATGCTTTTGTAGCTAATTTATCTCAATCTGTTTGTGTTATATGATTCCTCATTTTCCTTATGAAGATACATTTTGTGGAAACAAAATAAGTGTGAAAAACCTACTGGTCATATTGACCAAACAGTGTTATGAACATCTAGTGCCTTAGCTAGTATAGATTTTAATTGCTTAGGGCTTATTTTGAATAATAGTCATAAGTACCATTTCCTTTTTTGCAGATTATTGACACAGAATGGGAGGCAGCACATGAGGAGACAAATAGTCTCAACTGTGCAGATAATTCAGAAAGCAAAGAAGGTATAGTTTGTCATCTTCAAACAAATTGAAGCTTGCTTTGCTCCCATTAGTCTTATGTTTTGAGTTTTCCTAATATCACTCAACGTGTGACGGCACCAGATGCCGCCTTGGTAGGAATGGATTGCTTCGTACTCCATTACACAATGCTTTCTTATTGCTTTGTCTCTATAGCAGAATCTGAGCTTGTCAAAATATGTTTTGAATGTGTGTTCTGCTAAAAACCTGGAAGTTGTAAGCATTTCAAATCTATGTGTAAACCTTTATTTCCAACTTCAGAATACTATGTTGAATTTGTGTTTTAAAGGTGGCTATCTAGGAAAACAGAAAATCAAGAGACTTATGTGTTTATGTGTGTGTGAGAGAGAGAAAGTGGCGGTTTTCTGCATTGAAAGTGAAAATGTTTCTAAAAAACATTTTTTTGTCTTTAATTTTTTTAATATATATATTTCCAGAACAACCTGAACATGGACCAAGTGTTGACTGCCTTAGTGTGTCACCACAAGCATCACTAGGTAATGAGTTCAAAATGACTATGGAAGTGTATTTTAATGTATTTAAAAGAATCCATGTATTTTATCTCTGTGTGTGATTGAGAGATAGATAGATAGATAGATAGATAGATAGATAGATAGATAGATTGATTGCCTTGACAGAAACAGTGCAAATTTTCTTGAAATGTATCCCAGAAATATATCTCTGCCCATGGAATAATCAGTTTTACTAGTGACATAACTATGTTAATGTTTCTGGCAGTGTTTTGTATGTTACTGCTACAGCTTAACACCGGTTAAACTACACCAGATGGATAGGAAGCAAAGTAACCTCTGCTGGAGATGTGGCATGCACAAAGGGACATATTTTCATTTATAGTGGGAATGCCCGAGTTGAAGAGTTTTAGAAACAACGTATTTATGGAAATAGGTAACATTGGACTAAATATCACCCTGGATGCTAGGTTAGCGTTACTAACGGACGTCAGAAAGTTGAATGTAGAAATGGAAAAGAAAGAATTGGTGATTATTGTACTCACAGAGGCGAGACTTATAATTGTAAGGAATTAGAAAAAAGTAACCAATCTCACACTGGAAGCATGGTATGGGGAGGCATGGAATGTAGCCTTAAATGATAAACTATCAATGAAAATTAGAGTGTTCAGGGGGAAACTAATGGATCAGATTTTGATTTATACTGGTTGGCGACACGAGGTGGTTTACATTTGGCAATCAGTGCCCCACAAGATAAAATTCAGTCAAAAACAATTACATATAGTATAAACCGTATAAAAACAATAACAATAAACAATTAAAATCATAAAATACAGTTCCCAGCGTCTCATCATTAAAATAATTTTCCATCGCATTGTCCTGTCATTCCATGAGTCTCAATCAGTTATACTTCATCTAATATATATATTAGAGAGTGAAAAAGGAAAACAATACAACTTTGTTGGTCAGGAATTTGGATATGATATTTGTTTACTGGTTGATTCATAAATTTATGACAAAGGAAATAATACTTGTTCAGTCTTTGGTGCTGGGTTTATGTGTTTGTAATATGTTCATTGTTTCGTGTTCTGTTTACATTGTAAGTTTTTAATGTATATAAATAAAAATTTATATTTAAAAAATGGAAGCTTAATGTCTTGGTATGTTTTCAGTGTTATTTATGTGTACTTCAGGCCCCTTCTACATTGTCATATAATCCAGATAGTCCAGATGATCTTCTTTGAACTGGATTATATGAGTCTACACTGCCATATAATCTAGTTCAAAGCAGATCATCTGGCTTTTATATAGCATGTAGAAGGGGCCTAAGACCCATTTATACTGCCATATAAAATCCAGATTGTCTGCTTTGAACTGGATTATATGGCAGTGTAGACTCATGTGTGGCAGTGTAGATCCAGTCTTAGGCCCTCTCTACACTGCCATATAATCCAGATCATCAAAGCAAATACTCTACATTATCTGGTTTGAACTGGATTATCTGAGTCTCCACTGCCATATAATCCAGTTCAAAGCAGGTAATCTGGATTTTATATGGCACTGTAGAAGGAGCCTTAGTGTCCAGGAAATCTTGAATTCATCCCCCATGATCACATCACTTTTGATGTGATGTAGACGTTCTGGATCTCTCCCACTTCACACTTTAGGTAGGGAATCATAGATATGAATGCTCCTTTTGCAAAACTTTCAGTTTTCTCCATTTGCATTCTGAAACAATAGAGTTCCTGCAGCCTGGTATAATAGGTACAAAAAGAAGTATAGATTGATTAGGTAGCTGCTATCTTGTAAAATTGTTTATTTAAATTATTGATCTCTTTAGTTAGTGATATATATATATATCTTTTTATCTCTTATTTTAGCCAGCTTGGAGAATGTAAATACTTCAGGCACCGCACCTAGCAAAGGTGACTGTGAACATTTAAGTTACTCTGTTTTTGCTGTTTCAGTTTCCACATTTATTATATCTGTGGAATTGCATATTATAATTTTTTTTGTTTTGCAATATCTGCTTAAGCCAATGCATCTTTCACTAACAATCCGAATTGTTTAAATGCTCATGGGTGGCCTTTTCCAGTAGATTTTTGTTCATTCTGCTTCATCTGACATTGATTGTGAAAATATTATGTGGAAGGACAACCTGACTCATGTATGCTACCATGGGTCAACGGAGGAAAGGCAAGAAATTAATGTGATGAAATGCAAATTACAATCTATACAAAAAAATGGGAGATGCATATATAATTTTTAAAACATGCATTAGCCATAAATTAGTGCACAATTATGATCTAATAATTTAGTACATTTCTGATATTTTATGCAGATTAGAACATCCATCTTAACCTCCTAAACCTGTTCATATTTTTTATCCATATATCAATAACACTATGTTGCAAAATTTGGAAAAAAATCTGTTCCTGGTTTAAAGTATTATTTCCTATTTAATTGTGTGGCACTTACTTTGAAAGTACTGTATATACTTGAGTATAAGGCTAGTTTTCCAGCCCTTTTAAAAGCCCCCCTTGGCTTATACTCGGGTGAGCCTCCTAGCCTTCTTTCAGTCCACACCTTCCTGCTGTTGGACCCTCACCTCTCCGCACAGCAATCCAGCTCTCTTCCTTGGCTCTTTTCTCATGCAGCGTGTATGCCTTCCTCTCCTCTCTCAGTGCTAGTCTTTTTCACTTTTCCTTATTTATATACACATAGCATTTCCCTCAAAACGTATAGTTAAAATAAACTATGGTGATTATTGAAAAGGTAAGTTTTATTTATTTATTTACTTCATTTATATACCGCTTTTCTCAGCCATTAGGCGACTCAAAGCGGTTAACAACAGCAATTTCAATGCACACATTACAAAACATTGGAGCGTTTAAAAACAATAGCATAACAACAATTAGACATCAATATGACAAATCATTCACGTCTCATCAAAAGTGTGCACATTTACATTGAATAAGGTTAGAATAATGATTTAGTCAGACTTGGACAGTTATCGGAAAATACAGTTTTACATAAATATTCAAAAACATTTAACCTACTGATTCCTCGATCACTGTAATTTTATTAGTGTCTATTTCTATTTTGAAATTTACCAGTGGCTGCTGCATTTCCCACCCTCGGCTTATACTTGCGTCAATAAGTTTTCCCAGTTTTTTGTGGTAAAATTAGGTGCCTCAGCTTATATTCAGGTCAACTTATACTCAAGTATATGTGGTAGTTGTTATACTTCAGAATTATTTGTTTTTTGCCTGCCACAAGCCATGTTGGCTTGGTTGTGTCGTAGCTATTGTGTCGCTGCTTTCAAGTTGGGGTTGATTCCAAGCATCCAAACCCCCTTTGCGGAAGCTGCGCCCTGTTGCCCAAGGAGAACAATCAACAGAAAACAGACTGTCTTCCGAATAAAGAAATGTTTATATATAATAGTCACAAAAATAGTTTCAATCCTCAATCCTCCAGCAAACCTTTCTTGAGCTCCTTCAGCAATCTCTTGCTCTTGCTCTACGCAATACTCATTCTCTACAATCTCAACATTCTCTTCTCTCTACAACACACAGTGCTTAGTTCCAATTTGTAGTATCTAATCTATCACAGGTGTCTTAACAGTTGCTCTCCATGCAATTCGTGGACATGGTCCTTACAAATACTTACTCACTTTTTCACTTAAGAAATGACTCAATTGATATAAAACTCTGACAGGTTGAGACTCGATGAGATATTCATTGAAAACCTATACCAAAATGTGCTGGAAGATGTCTTGAAAAAAAAGTTTTTGCTGTTTATTTTTTCCATGTTTTTTTATGATATAACCAATTAGGAAATGATATTTATAACCCAGGAACAAACTTGTGTTACATTGTGTAATATATATATGTCACATATTAGGCAGTGTATCCAAATTGTTGTAACTGCCGTCTCTTCTCTACCTGTCTGGATATTCTATGCAGGCATTGTTTACTAATAAAGCTAATTCTTAATTGTGAAAATTCATATTACATCATACTTCTCAATTTGCCTTAAAAGGGAAATTTGATGGAACTGCTTTTGCAGGGGCTGCTATAAATAGTAGATTAGTCTCTGTACAATAAGTGTTGTGATTCAATTTGCTTTGATTTTTGCAGATGCTAGCTCTATGCTGAAGAAGAAGTCAAATCAAATGAAAAAGGGGGTAAGTGCTTGAAAAGTCTTCTCTGGATAGCAAAGAAAGCTAGATTAACACTTCCCTGTATCCCAGAATTGGATGCCAAATTATCTGCTTTGAACTGGATTATACAATCTTACATTGCCAGGTAATCTAGAATCAAGAAATAATTTGGGATCGGATCCTGGGATATAGGACAGTGTAGATCCAGCCAGAGTAGGTGTCCACACACTCTAAGGTTATTTCCCACAACACCAACTAACTAGGCATGAGTCCTTTTTCTGTTATGTCCATGGACTCCCTTCTCTTTTTTCATTAGTTTTTTTCCATTTCTATCTGGAAAGCTTGTTTTCCAGATAGATATATTGCCTTTTTTAGTTTACTTACACACATTAAATTTAGAGAAATAGAAAAAAGTGATTCTAACTCTGATTGCTGCCCAGCTGATCATGATTTACTATTTATTGTTTCATTGTACATTACAAAGTTTTTATTTATTTATTTCGTATTAAAAGCATTGCATAAATTAGTATAAAACTGATAAAAAAAATAAAAGGCGTGCAGGTGGCTATCTTTTGACCTAAAACGGGCAACAGCAATGGCATTGTCTGTAGCCTCCAACAATTCCTCCTCTGTACATGAGGCAGGGCACAATGGACAAGCATACAGATGCAGAGTTGTCTGTTGTGCTCCACAGTTACACAAGGTATGGGATTCTTTTAGGTAGTGCCATTTCGCCAGGTTGTCTTTTGATCTGCCCACTCCACTTCTGAGTCTATTCAGGGACTTCTAGGTTGCCCATTCATGGCTTGCCCCTGGAGGAAGACCCTCACGGGGGGGGGGGGTCATCCATTTGAGATTTCCTGATTTAACTGCCCAGAGGGATACCCTTGCTGTTGCTGGAGGAACACCAAGAGGAGTGGTAGTTGTCATACAGCTTTCCCTTGATTTGAGTCTACTGAGAGGAGGCTGGTAGCCATGCAGTGGGTGGCTTTCACAGTGTTCAACTTTACAAAGTGTAAGGCACATACATTTTTTCTTCTTAAAGATTGGAGCAAAGAAAGCTGGTTTGGGAGCCCAGAAAATGAGCAGTAAGAGTTTTAATGAGATTGAAAAACAAGCACAAGCTGTCGATAAAATGAAAGAAAATCTACATGCAAACAAAAGAGCTGAGAAAGAAGAACCTCTGTAAGTCTGCAAAGATGACTATAATGTTTTATTAGCAATAGATCTGTAGAATGTTTGAAGTTGAAATAGTTGAACAGGCTTGATTTAACTGACGTGTTTTACTCTTTTAGTAAACATAAGTGATGAAGTTGAATACTGTATTAGTATCAAATTGCAAAAATATTGGTTGAACAAATTATTTTGATATATTAGAACAGGGCTTCTTAAACATTTTCCACTTGTAACCCCTTTCTGACTAAGAAATGTTAATGTGATCCCAGGTATTTAGGTATATAAAATAGATATATACTGATCATAGAACTGCATTTGCAAAGGCTTCTAAACAGGCTGATTTTCCTTTTTATGAAGCATTTTCTGCAGAGTCTACTGTAAACACTGCATGTAGTTTCTAACAAATACATGTAATACCTATAGCAGCTTCCAGGTTCAGAAAGCTTTTATTGTTGCAGGTTTTTTTTTTGTGATCCCAGCACTGAGTTAAGGGGACCTCATTTGGGGTTGAGACCCGCAGTTTAAGAAGCAAAGCCTTAGGAAATGGACATTATTTGAGACAAGAAGTGTTTTGAAATTTGGATTTCTACCAGTTTTGGCACACCTGTGTTCATGTATAAGTACGTAATGAGATATCTTGAAATGGCACCCAAGTTCTAAACATGACATGCAATATTACATTCACTTTATAAACATAAAGTTAGGCAGTGGTGGCTAAGAAATAACCATAATAGTTGCTGAAGGTAATTTTATACCTTTTTTGTTGTTGCTTGAGACAAAGTTTGTGTACATGGGGGTCATTATCTCAGTCACTTATGTGGACAGTTTCTGTTTTTAGAGAAGTTCAGATTTCTCAATAAAGGATGATCAATCTATATTGCAAAATGTACCAGGATGGAGGCTGAACAAAAGCTACTCATTTTGAAGAGTACATAATGGTTGATGTATCTAATTTCAAGGGCTTAGAATTGCGATGACATGTAAAGCCCTAAATAATTTGAGCCCCCCAATATCTTTCTCTGTATGATCCGGTTTGAGAATTGAGGCTCATCAGGGGATGGGGACTACATTTTATGTGTTTTACCAATGAGGCCAATGCATTATGTTAGGACATGGGCTTTCTCAGCTATGGCATGCCAATTGTAGAATGCCCTCCCCTTGAAGGACCAATTGGCTCCAACACTTTTTTTTTTTGGTCGTGTCAGGAGCGATTTGAGAAACTGCAAGTCGCCTCTGGTGTGAGAGAATTGGCCGTCTGCAAGGACGTTGCCCAGGGGACGCCTGGGTGTTTTGATGTTTTAGCATCCTTGTGGGAGGCTTCTTTCATGTCCCTGCATGAGGAGCTGGAGCTGACAGAGGGAGCTCATCCACACTCTCCCCGGATTCGAATCTGTGACCTGCCGGCACAAGGGTTTAACCCACTGCGCCGCTGGGGGCTCCGGCTCCAACACTGATTTAATTAATGAAAATCTGGTTGTTCATCAAAACCTTTGCACTCACGTCAAATAGTGATGTACATAGGTTTTAAAAAAGTTACTTTATTTTTTTAAGGTAGTTATGTTTAATATGTTTTACTCTATCTGAATTATTTTTAGTGTTTTAAAGTGTTTTAAAGTTTTTTTTCCCTTTTAACTTTGCTTGAAGGTTGTCCCAGGATCTTTTTGATAGGGGTAGTGTAGAATATTTTAATTGATTAATTTGTTTATTATCATTTCAGACTATCTTATCTCAATTTAATTTATCCCAAGGCGTAGTTTAGGACAAAGCAGTCCTTCAGATATATTGGTCACAAACTTTCAAGGCAAACACCAGCACTGTTAATTAGTATCAGAGATAGATGGGAAGCTATAAAGCAATTTCAGTAGGAAGTCTGTAGAATGCTGGAAAGTGTTTCCAGCTGACAATTTGAATTCTGGACTAAGCAATGTTTTGAACACTTTGAAAAGCAGTTCCACATAAAGTGCAGAATAGCAGGGAAGCACTGCCCATCTCTTAGTAAAGAGAGTCATCAGATGAGAAGCAATTAATGATGTTTGTTTGGAATGTACAGTATACAGTTTCGGATGAAATGCAGATAGCTTTACTTCCAAAATGTTGACTAGCTATTTTGCTCTCTAGTAACATCAAAGAGCATGTTACTTACAACTTTGACTCCTTATACTCTCCCATATAACCCAGTTTCCGATCTCAGATTATGTTCTTTGAACTGGAGTCTATGGCAATGTAGACTCCTATAATCCATTTCAAAGCAGGTAATCTGGGATCAGATACTGGATTATATGGCAGTGTGGATCCTGTTTTAGATGCAGTTTCATTAAAGCAAAAGGCATGCAGTGCAATTGCATGAACTTAACAAAATGATGTCCATTAAAGTGTGGATAATCTGAATAGTTTGACGTGCTGGACTAAATGGCTCTTTCTAACTTCCTCACTTAAGTGGAGTCCACTGAAGACAGAAATAATGATTCTATTTCTTTGTAATACATGAAAAGCCCTGCCCATGGACCTGTTAGAAACCTTTCTTGAAATATCAGTTTTTTTCTTCTTAAATCTTTGAGGTTATCCCTTAGAAGTAAGAAAAGAACTGGTATGAAGGTACTAGTAAATTCTTGGCTAGTTGCTGACCATTTGATTCTCCTCGTTCTTATTCTCAATCTTATTGCTTAGGAATTCCCTGAGTCATTTATGCTGTTTCTTCAGTTATTTAAGCTGAAGGCTTAGCATAACATGTTGCATTGGCGTGTCACTTTGCTTTGCCAAAACTTAATAACTGCAAATGCATACTTGTTAAATGAAAATGATCCACTCCTTAAAAAAAACTATAACCACTAGATGGCAGCATAAACACATTTTGGAAGGGTTTCAAAGTTTTGTCATGGCTTTCTGAAAAAATGTTTTATTGCATTCATGTTACATTCTTGAATGGGGATGGCAAAATGCAGTAAAGACATTTGAAGTATAGGTCCCAGCATTGCCTGGCCAGATGGGGTTTGAAGGGAGTTACAGTCTCATGTCATCTCAATATTTGAGAAAGGGTGGGACATAAGTACAGGCAGTCCCCGAGTTACAAACACCTGACTTAAATATGACTCCTAGTTACAGACTGGGTTGAGACAACAGGAAGTAAAAGGAAATCTATCACTAGGAAGGGGAAATCCACTCTTGAAAGAGTTATTATGGGGAAAAGATGTCTCCGCTGAATCTCTGTCCCAATTATTGCTTCTGTGACAATCTGTCATACAAGGACAGAAAGTGAAGGAGAAGTTTTTGAACAGGAGTGCAGACAGCAAAAGAAACATTACAGGAGCATTAACTCTTCTCTTTGCTATCCAGAACTAAGAGAAAAATGGGCTGGAGTTACACTTTAAAAATGTACCCATTACAACTTACATACAAATTCAGGATAAGGATAAGCTTACAGAATCTATCTTGTTTGTAACCTAGGGACTGCAGGATTTATTTATTTACAGCATTTCTATCCTGTCCTTCTCAACCCCTGTGGGGAGGGAGGACTCAGGACGGCTCACACTTGGCAACAGTTCGATGCCATACATACAGCAAACAACAATATAACCACAATTTAAAACAATGGATAAAAAATTAAGTTAAAACAGCTAAAAACATTTTGTCAAAACCATAAAGCCATTCCAGTTCAATTCTGTAATTTGACAAGACCATAAAGCCATTCCAGTTCAATTCCATAACCAAAGTGCTGCTACGTCTGTTGGCCAGAGGCCTGGTCCCAAAACCATGGTTTCAGTTTTTTCTTGAAAGACAGGAGGGAAGAGGCGGACCTGATCTCGCTGGGGAGTGAGTTCCACAGGCAGGGGGCTGCCGCCAAGAAGGCCCTGTCTCTCGTCCCTGCCAAACGCATTTGCGAAGCTGGCGGAGCTGAGAGCAGGGCCTCCCCGGACTATCTTAGGTTGCGAGGTGGGACGTAGAGGGAGACACATTCGGACAAGTAAGCTGGGCCGGAGCCGTGTAGGGCTTTATGGGTCAAGACCAGCACTTTGAATTGTGCTCAGAAGTGGACTGGCAGCCAGTGGAGCTGACATAACGGGGGGTGGTATGCTCCCTGTATGTTGCTCCAGTTAGCAATCTGGCTGCCACCCATTGGACTAGTTGGAGTTTCTGAACAGTCTTCAAAGGCAACCCCACGTAGAGTGTGTAGGGAGTGTGTAGAGGATGACCATACTGTCCCCTCCTTGTGATTTTCACTTGTATCTGAAGTGTGGAGGGTTGATGGCCTGTAAAAAAGCTGGTGGGGGGGGGGGGGGAATCCTGTAGTGTAGAGGCTCTCCAATAATATTATGGATTGCAAGGAGAACTCCAGGGTGAAGGAGGCTCACCTTTTCAGGCCATCATCTTTGTGTAAAGCACAATAGAATTGCCTAATGGTGAGCCAATACCAACACACGCTTCTCTTTACACATTGGCTTATGTAAGACAGGATAACATCTGAATATGTTTTTGTAATATCGTTGTGCCCAACATGTTTCCAACTTATGGTAACCCTAAAAAAACTTTATCTTGCCAAGATTTATTCAGAAGGGAATTGTCATTGTCTTCTTCTGAGGCTGAAAGAGTTTACTTGCTCAAGGTCACCTAGCCGGATTGCACGGGTGAATGATTTGTACCCTAGTCTCCAAAGCCGTAGTACTCCTATGTGCCAGTTAGTACAATACAGTAGAAACAATTTTGTTGATTTTATAAAAACTTAAAAGGTGTAGAGATGGAAAGAGTAATCTGAAAGAACCCAATTAAATAGTTAAAATAGCTTCCACTGAATTCCAAATACTGTACTTAACTAAAAGCAGTCATCAAGGAAAGTTTCTCTAAGTGTTAAACATGCACACATGTTTAGGGTTTTGGGATAATTCCCTACTCAGACATTTATAGTCCACTCAATTTGCCTGCACATTGCGCATTGGTTTTTTGATCCCATTCTTAGCTAATTTTTATGATTAATCTTTTCTGTCACATTATAACTCTCGGTCTAGAAGTTTATTCCTGCTTACTACGTATTGTGCCTTTATGTGTTATCTTTTTAAAATATAAGTTACATTTTGATTGAGGAATCCTCAAGGTAGGTTATAAAAATATTGCATCATATTTGTAGAAACATACTATTCTGATATCTTTGATTTTGTTAATGCTGTCAGAGCGAGATAAAAGTAAGTGTGGCTATTATTTCATAATTGAAAAAAATTGTGATTGATTCAAAGCTTTGGCAAACATATTTGCATGGCTACAAGATAGGAATTTGTATTGCAAAAAACTTCAAATGTGTTGCTATTGATACGTATTCATTTGTCTTATCTGTGAGCACATCAGTTTCCATTGTTTCCTTCTCCAAACTTTTATTATTTGACGGAGTGTATACTTCATGAATCATCAGTTCTAATAAGCAGGTCTTTATATATATATATTTAAAATCATTAAAGATACAGGTGTAGGATTGCAATCTTATTTTATTTATCACATAAAGTTTGTAATGAATATGCATGCCTACAGCTTTTCACCGATGTGTCTGTGTGTGTGTGTTTTAGATGTCCTGCTGGTCAGGCATAGCATCATGGAATTGATGTGTAGGATGATGCTTTGGCATTATATGAATAGAAATGGCTGAATGTACAAGGATGAAAAATAAGCAATTATTGACATGAAAATGAATCTGCCTGAAGTTTCATACATCCCTCCAATCTTTTGACATGAATATATGTTTACATTCTTTAATTCCATTTTACAAATTTAGCAGTCAAATATTATACCCCTACCTGACCATACTGTTGTTATTAACTCTGATTAGTAGAAGCAGGGAAACTTGAAATAATAGTTCATAAAGCTTAGTTGTTTCAACTAGCCAGTATTACCTTAAATTCAGTTTACCATCAATCAGTCAACCAACCAATCAATACTCTGACCAATGGTCATACGCATTTACACCTACAGTTTACCATCTAGATACAACATTGACACCCAGGTTAGCAATTTTCTATCTACTCACAGTTATGCTAGTGAAAAAGAAGTCATAACAACAGAGTATTGTTTTATAGTTGTGGCATAACTGGGCCAAAGGTTTGGGTCCAAAAAGAAAGACATCACATTTCATGCAAAAATCCATTCTTGCCAGTATCTACACCAATCTTCCACCACTTTCAAGTCGTATAAAAAGTTGCTTGATCCTTCAGCACTTCAGGAGGTTAAAAGGCAACAGAAGGAGAAACAGTCAGGAAACCGCTATTCTTCAAGGAGAACAGCATTTTGAGTTCTTAAAATTGGAGGGCAGTATGTACAATAGGGTATAGATAGTAAATGATGCTGTTATGGTTTCCTGTCTATCCAAGTTTGCATATCTCTGTGTTAGTTGTATCAATCAGCTTAACACTGCCTAGAGATTGTCAAACTTGTGGTCCACCATCCTTGAGGGATTAAAGTTTGGGAAATACTTCACTAGGTTATGTTCCAAGATTCCCATAGGTCAGTGGTTCTCAACCTGTGGGTCCCTAGGTGTTTTGGCCTACAACTCCCAGAAATCCCAGCCAGTTTACCAGCGGTTAGAATTTCTGGCAGTTGAAGGCCAAAACAGGTTGAGAACTACTTCCATGGTGAATGTAAGGAAAAGCCACTTTTCTGACCCGCATGTGCACACAACATACTTCTGATTGCTAGGCAGTCCAGCAACCAAGGGTATCTTCCTCTTCCAGTGCAAAGATATCTTTCTCTCCTATTTCCTTCATTTCCAATTATTAACACATTTAGGCTTCACTGTTCCTTACTTTTAAGATAAATTGTTTTACCTGCAAATCATCTCTTAATATCCTGCAGTACCTTCTTCCTGCTCACCCATCCAACTCAATATGGATTCTCCTGTATACTTAAGTCTTCCCAATTGTATCACAGGCAATTTCATCCTATGCATATGTGTGAAAAACCTATTTTTTCCACCTTCCCTTTTCTGCATCTGGTTACTACGACTGGATCTACACTCCCATGTAATGCAGTTTCAGAATGCAGATAAACTGCACTAACATGGATTATATGAGTCTACTTTGCCATATATTCCAGTCCAATGCAGTTAATCTGCATTCTGAAACTGCATTATATGGCAGTGTAGATCTAGTTTATGCTTGCTGGATCAGAGAGAAGTAGTTTTGTTTTAATTCACTTATACAGACTGCATTTCTTTTTTAGAGTATCCTCTTTACGCCTGGCCTACAAAGATCTTGAAATTCACATGAAAGAAGAAAAATTAAATGTGACCGGAAAAAAGAAAACAGAAGTAGATAGACTCGGCATGGGATTTAGTGGAAATAGAAGGTAAGTGCAATTATTTAGTTTATGTTACAAACTAAACATTTGTGTAATACAGTCTAGGATGTAAGACAGAGCTGTCATAAAAAGTAAAATTTCTAGAAAGTTTCTAGCCATGGAGTGGGTGTAGGGGTGAGGACCAGGTTTGTGAGGGAAAAATGCTGATAAGTGCAATATTAGCCTCCTTTACAGACTGGAAATTGCTTCCTTTATTGTTAGAAATTGAGCTATAATGTTTTTGAACTCCAAAGAACGTTCTCCCTATAATAGTGGTTCTCAACCTGTGGGTCCCCGGATGTTTTGGCCTTAGATTTCCAGAATCCAAACAGTTGCAGGCTAAAACACCTGGGACCCACAGGTTGAGAAATACTTCACTATAAGTAACCTCCTTAATTTTGTCAATTTATGAAGAGCAGCCAAAAACAGTCTATGAATTGAAAAAAAATCAACAACAGTAAAATAAATGTGTCCCTAATATCTCATAGTGTCAAGGAGACATAATCATTTTCAGGAGAAAAAAACATGAAGAACAAGAAACAAAGATCAAAAATTATAATTATGTTAGATATTTGACAGTTGTATAGTCCCAAAAGTTAACTGTGTGTCCAGTAATCTTGTTCCCTGAATCTAAAACTTGGTGATGGATCTGGGCATTGTATGTTTTTACCCTGTTTCCCTTTCCGCTCCCTCACCCAAATTGTGCTTCAGTAGTTATTTTTATATTTTTAATGTACCAAACATACCAAGTTTGTATGAAAATGTGACTCTATTTCCTGTGCTGGTCAATGACCGAAATAAATGATTTGATTGATTGACAGTTGTATGCAAATGTCTACCTGCTACATATCATAGTTTTAATAAATAATGGAAAAGTAAATACATAACAATTTTATCTTAAATCTGTTATCATTTTTGAAGAAATATTTAATAACAAATAATTGCTTAATCTAACAAATAGGTGTGCCCTATCTCAAGTTTTATAAGTGTATAAAGATCATGAAATATTTTACCCTGGATATTTATAAGCTGCCATCCCAGAAAATAAAAATTCAGAACAGTATGCAAGAAATAAAATGATTGTACATCCTTACAATTCAATACAGATAATAAAATATCATTACATTCAAAGAATTCAAAGTAATTTAAACACAGTGGATCATAATACATAATCCAGAACTATGTACTGTATATCTTTCAACACTATTTTCCATTTAGAATGCAATAAACTACATATGGTTTGGTATTGTAAATATCATGCAGCTGTACTATAAACTCCCCTAAGTCAAAACAAATGACGATTACTATTGTCCTCAGTCTGAAGTCAGTTGAGTAAAGGAAAAATGTATCTGAAAAGGCGTTAATGCTGATGGGAATAAAACTGACAGGTTTTGAGTCTGAGAGGGGTTGCCACATAGAATTTGGCAGTAAATTCCATAGCCTAGAAAAGCCTTTGAAAAGACTACAGTTTTTTTGCAGTGTAAACATTTGTGTGGAGAAGCAGTTTTGTCAGATGCAGAAAACTCATGACTTTAGTCCACAGACACATGAACAATTAGTCAAGCGTGCTGTAATCTGTGAAATGTGTGAATCAGTGTATCAAACACAACAATCAGAAAATTTGGTATATGGCTTAAAATCAAATATCATAACCTGGATCGGAAGCATGATTCATTTTGTTCTTTCCTTGAGCTGAAGCTTTTAATTATTTGATGTACCATATTCTCAGGAAACATTAGTCAGCTTTGCCTCTTATCTATATATTTCCCCTTCATGATGCAAAGCTAAAATAAATAAAATTCTCAGGCCCAGATGGGTTCTCTGCTTTGTATTATAAGACATATAAGACATATGGCTGTGTCCTTTGGAAACAGTATTAAATCCAATATTCAATGAGAATTTATAGGGAGTACCTAATTAAGGAATACGAGTATTGGAAAATAAAAGGGAGAGAAGAGGTAGGGATAAACTGATAACTATTATATGTATTTGATTATTTTTAGATTTTTTTCTTTTACATTCCGTATGTCATTAACACAATAATTATAATTAATTATAATGTTTTAAAAACGATGCTAATGTGCTTATATATCATTGTTTCCTTCCAGTGGCATTTCCCATTCAGTAACTTCAGATATGCAGATCATAGAACAAGAAACGCCTACAACTGCAAAACCTAGGAAGAAGTATAATGATGACGACGACTCATATTTTTCTTCCTCTAGTTCAAGGTGATGAATTATTCCTTTAATGATGGCGTGATATAATGTGTATTAAAGAATACATGTTATGCCCTAATTGAAGATGACATATTGAATATGTTTCACATTTTAAATTTTAATAACTTAACTTACCTAGGATTTAGAACAGTGGTTCTCAACCTTCCTAATGCCGTGACCCCTTAATACAGATCCCCATGTTGTGGTAACGCCCAACTATAAAATTATTTGCATTGCTACTTCTTAAGTGTAGTTTTGCTACTGTTATGAACTGTAACGTAAGTATCTGATATGCAGGATATATTTTCATTCACTGAAGCTAATCTCAGAAAGAATGTTCATGTTATTTACTGGAATGACCCAACTTGAATTTTGAACCTCCTTCCATTCATTATTTTATATCTATTTGTGGATTTACTTTATTATCCTGCCTTTCTCCTGCTACAGGGACTCAAGGTTGCTAACAGCAAATATGAAATAATACAAATTAAAAGCAGAACAAAGGCTTGTAAATATTAATATAAAAATCAACTACATTTTTTAGTATAAAAATACAATTAAACCTATATTTAGAAACTACTTAGCCTTCCCCCTCCCCCCAAAAAATCCTATTCACATCACCCCAGCAACCCTAATTACCTAATGCAGAAGGATGTCTTGACCTGCCCCCAAAAACAAGCTGGGATGGGACCATCCTGATCTCTCTTGAGAGGGAGTTCCAAATTCTGGAGCAGCCACCACAAAGGCCCTCTCCCATCAGACAAACTTGGGAGGATTTTTTTTTTGTCGTATCAGGAGATACTTGAGAATCTGCAAGTCACTTCTGATGTGAGAGAATTGGCCATCTGCAAGGACGTTGCACAGGGAACGCCTGGATGATTTGATGTTTTATCATCCTTGTGGGAGGCTTCTCTCATGTCCCCGCATGAGGAGCTGGAGCTGGTAGAGGGAGCTCATCTGCCTCTCCCCGGATTCGAACCTGCGACCTGTCGGCCTTCAGTCCTGCTGGCACAGAGAGAAGGCCCTGTTGAGGTGATTGTAGGTTTGTAACAGAGATATGGTCTTCAAATAACCTGGGCTGTATAGAGCTTTATAGGTCAAAGCCAGTGCTTTGAACTGTGCCTGGAAATGGGTTGGCAGGCAGTGGAGCTGCTACATCAAGGAAGTTGTATTCTCCCTGTAGCCAGCCTCAGTTAATAACCTGACTTCTGTTCTTTGGACAAACTGAACTTTCTGAGCACTTTTTCAAATCAACCCCATGTAGAGCACATTACAGTAGTCTAACTAAGATGAAACAAAGGCGTGTATCACCCTGGTCATAGCCGACTTCTCCAGGAGCAGTAGGCACACTTATCTTTAACTGTGGAAAGGCACTTCTCATCACTTCCAAAACCTCGGTCTCCTAGTTGAGAGTCAAATCCAGGAGTACACCCAAACTGCAAACCTGTGTTTCCAGGGGGAATGTGACCCCATCAAACACAGACTGAATCCTTATTCATTAATCTGGACTCATATTATGCTTGCTGTTCTAATCACCATTTTACGTAATCAGCATATAAAGAAAACAAAAAAAAAATCTTGCAGTTTTTGAGGCAAACTAAAAGCAAAAAGGGAGTAAAGTCTCTGTGCTAAACATTTTCATGCTGAAGTTGTTATTTTATAATTAACTGTATACCTGCTATTATTCTTCCTTGCTATATTATTTAGCCAGGCAATTTTATACTCCATTTATTAACTCAGATTTACTAGAAAAGATTAATAAAATCATGATTTTAAACTCAAATCCATTCGAAGGAGAAACATATAGTACTCTGGTAAAAAGTGCTGTTCTATAGAACTAGACCCAAAGATTACAAGCTCATCAAGTTTTTCAGCTCTTTGTGTGTTCTTGCCGTACACAAAGCTTGGGGGAACATCTAGAACAGCAGTATTTTAATGATATATTTTTTTCACCACACAGATACTTTGATGCACCTGAGTTGAGAAGCAGCACTTTTTCTAAATGGGATGATGATTCTGATTCCTTCTGGAAGAAAGAGAGTGTCAGCAGAGATGTGGAAACGATCCTTACTTCAAAACCTATGAGCTATTCAGACAGGTACCTGAAGACCATTTACCTGCAAGTTACTAAGTTTCATTTGTATAGCTAGTTCTTCCAGTTTAAAAATGTATTACTTTGATCATTAAGCCAACAGTATTCAGTTATCACTTCAAAAAACCAGTGTACTGAACGTGTGTGATTTTATCTGGGGTTAACATTGTGAGTGTAGTTTAATGTTGATTACTTAATGCTATTGCTTGCATTTTATCTGTGTTATGGTCCATTTAGAACAGTGATTCTCAAAGTGTGCTCTGCGAAGTATACTGAGGAGCGCAGTTTCCTCCCCCTCCGTCCCCCTCCCCCTCCAAGCTTCCCCTTCTCTTTCCTGCTCTGTCCCTGCCTCTTTCACCACCAAAAGCTCCTGCCTCACGCTTCACCTCTCAGATCCTTTCCTCCTTACCTTGCTTGCTTCCAAAACCCTACCCCCCCAAAAACACTCAGGGGTGCTTTGATTGTGCTTTTCCTGCTTGAAAAGCACCAGTTGAACTGGATGGCCTCTGGGGTTGCTATTGTAATCATTAGTATCATTATTACCATTATTATTATTATTATTATTATTATTATTATTATTATTATTATTAAGGCTGAATGGTCATCTGTTTGGGATGGTTTGATTGTGCTTTGCGTGCATGGCAGAAAGGAGTTGGACTAGATGGCCCTTGGGATCTTCCACTTAAATACTGTTAAGTTTATGTTGGTCAAAAAGTTTGCCCATGCCTGATAAATATAAACTTTTCCGGGGACTCCACAAGAAACTTTGGCTTCAAAAATTGCTCCACAGAGGAAATTTTTTTAGAAAACCCTGATCTAGAGAATACCATCTTTACTCAAGATTATTGCTCACAATTTTTGGCTAAATTATATCGCCAAAATTGAAGTGTGCATTAGATTGGATGGGGTGTTAGAATCGTGCACATGAGCCCATCTGCATGAAAAGGCCTGGAGGAACTTATAATAATAATAATAGTAATAATAATAATAATAATAATAATAATAATAATAATAATAATAACACTTTATTTGTACCCTGCTACCATCTCTCCAAGGGACTCGGTGCGGCTTACATGAGGCCGAGCCCAAATACAACAATACAAGCAATAATAACAACAATACAAGTAATTAAAATAAAAAACATAGACAATAAAATATGCAACAATTAACAATAAGACAACACACAATTGGAAGGCCAAATGTAAAGTTAAAATTAGAAATGATGCCGGGACATGGGCGAAAAGGTGAAAGTGGCGTTTGTGGAAAACGTACAAGCAGACCTAATATGTAAAGTGCTTTGGAGGACAAAGTGCTATGGGATCATAATTCTGGGAAGGCACACTGGAACAACCACATCTTCAAACTCCTCCTAAAGACTGCCAGAGTTGGGGCCTGCCTGATGTCCTTAGGGAGTGAGTTCCAGAGTCGAGGGACCACCACCAAAAAGGCCCTCTCTCTCGTCCCCACCAATCGCGCCTGCGATGCAGGTGGGATTGAGAGCAAGGCCTCTCCAGATGATCGAAGAGATTGTGTGGGTTTGTATACAGAGATGCGGTCACGCAGGTGGGTGGATCCCAAATCGTTCAGGGCTTTGTAGGTAAGAACCTGCACCTTGAATTGGGTCCCGAAAATGAATGGCAACCAGTGGAGCTCCTTGAACAGGAGGGTTGACCACTCCCTGTAAGGAGCCCCAGTTAACAACCTGGCTGCCGCCCGTTGGACCATCTGGACTTTCCGAGCCGTTTTCAAGGGCAGCCCCACGTAGAGTGCATTGCAGTAATCCAGTCTAGAGGTGACTAAGGCGTGGACCACCTTGGCCAGATCCGCCTTGGAACCCTGGAGGATAGACAGGGAGGCGTGTGTGTGGGGGGGGGGGGGACCCTTCCCAGTGGTGGTAGCAGCCTCCTGGCTCCGTGGTGCCTGCCTTGTGACCCAGTTGTTCCTGCTGTTTAGCATGGTTCTCGAGGTCTCTTGTCAGTCCCCTTCCCTGACTCAGTTCTATGCGGTTCCCAATTAGCTTCATTCAAGAGGTCTTCAAAACCTTCTCCATGGTTTTAAAGGCCTTGTGAATAACACCAGTTGGGAACAGTGTGTAGCTGGCGAGTTTTCAACAATCATCATAATTTAGCAACTGTTACATGTTTTATTGGGTATATTTGTGTCATGTTTTTGTGCTCAGTGAATTATTCTTGTTGAGATGAAATATGAAATCTCTCAAATCAATGGGACAAATATTAAGCTGATATGAAATATATTAAGGGTTTTTAAAATGAAAGATAACATTGTTTTTTTAAAATGGAATCCTCCCAGATATAACAATATAAAATAATATTCCTAGGCCCTCCTCTCGTCGGAAAGCTGACTATGAACCTTCAAACACAGATGAGGCACAAAAGAAATTTGGCAACGTTAAAGCTATTTCATCAGATATGTACTTTGGAAAGCAAGATCATGCCGATGTAAGTAGTTAAAAAAACAACAACACTTTCCCACACACAGTTTTCTGCCATTAATAACAAATTTAGGGGCCCTTCTGTCATTCTGTGATATTTCAGGATTTTATTATGTCATATAAAAATATAGTTTTCTTGCAGCAGCTGAGATGATAGCTCAAATCAAATCAAAACATTTATTTCGGTCATTGACCAGCACAGGAAATAGTGTCACATTTCCATACAAACCTGGCATGTTTGGTACATTAAAAATATAAATACAACTACTAAAAACACAATATGGGTGAGGGAGCAGAAGGGGAAACAGGGTAAAAACATACAATGCCCAGATCCATCACCAAATTGTAGATTCAGGGAAGAAGATTACTGGACACACAGTTGACTTTTGGAACTAGTCATTCCCTGGCGGATTTTGTATGCTGCTGCACAGAACTTTGCGACATTGTAGGTTGTAGCTGAATTAGTATCCGCAAGTAGCAGGGAGGTATAAAATTGTCCTGAATGGCCTGGGTGCTTGTCTATCAGAGGTAAGATAAGCCTGGCACGGGTATCCCTGTAGAACGGCACTGAAGGAGCACATGTTCTATTGTTTCTACATGACCCGAGTCACAGGGGCAGAGTCTCTCTGGAAAGGGATCTTCCGGTAGCGGCCTTCGAGTACAGCTGATGGGAGAGCGTGGCATCGGGCCAGGGTGAAAGCCCTTCGATGAATAGGAACCTCTAAGTTTGTTAAATATGCCACAGGGGAGGCAAGATATCTGCTGTCTTCATTGATAAGGAAGGTTGGAACGGAGACCAGATCTAGTTGGCGCTCTGTGTCTGTGATACGTTGTTTAATAAGTGCTTTGGCTTGATTGTAATCCATAGCTAATAGTAGACCTGGAGAAAATCCCAACGAGGAGATTTTGGATGCTACCGCCTGCTTCCATGTGGATTGGAAGTCATCCTCCATGGTTAGTGGGGCAAGGCCAAGGGGTGCATGGGACAGTCTGAGCCAGAGGTTAAGTATGGCCACCCACACCCTGGCCTCCACTCTCATAAAACCCGTCTCTAGTCGCAGGGTGGCATTAGAAACACATTTAGGTACCTGCAAGGCCGATCTCAGAAACTTGGACTGAACCAGCTCTAATGGGGCAAAACTGGGGAAGGGGCCCAGCTGAGCACCATACAAGAGTTGGGCTAATGACTTGGCTTCAAACAGCTTGAGCGCTGCCGGTGTGAAGTGGCCCCCTCTTGTCCTGAGATATTTAAGAATGGCAATTGAGCTCCCCTGCGCGGTGTTGGATACTTGATCCCCATGAGCTCTTCTGCTACCATTAGATTGGAAAACTACACCTAGATATTTGAAGGATGTAACTTGTTCAATTTTATGACCATCTATGCTCCAAGAGTAAGTCCTGGGCCTATTAGCGAAAGCCATGATTTTGGTTTGATTGTCATTAAGTTGGAGCTGATCTGTGTTGCAATGTTGTATTGATGCTCTCAGAGCTCTTTTGAGCCCAATGGGCGTTCTAGAGAGTACAGCAGCATCATCTGCATAAAGCAGGATGGAGATGTGTCTTCCCGCCAGCTTTGGGGGGTGGAAGTCCATGTTTTGAAGCTGTTCCACTATGGAGTTTATATAGAAGTTGAACAGCAAAGGGGCCAGAATGCAGCCTTGCTTGACACCCTTGCATGTTTCAACAGCCTCAGTGAGGTGGCCCTGTGGGTTGCATCTTACTTTGAGTGTGGTCTTTTCGTGAAGTTGGCGTATTAGATATAATAGACGTCGATCGATTGTAGAACTCTCCAGTTTTTCCCAAAGTTTAACTCGCGAGATGGAATCAAATGCTGCTTTAAAGTCAATAAAAGCAGCATACAGTGAGGTTATGTTTTGAGAGGAATATTTTTCCACAAGGTGTTGCAGCACTAGGCACTGATCTATGGTGGATCGACTTTCCCTGAATCCAGCTTGCTCCTCAGCTAATATGCTTTCTTGTTCCAACCAATCTTGGAGTTTCCATTGTAGATGTCTAGCATATAGCTTGCTGATAGTGTTAAGGAGGCTGATTGGTCGATAGTTGATGATAGCTGGATTAAGAGGGCTGCACTTGAAAAAAAAATAGTCCTTCTCCCTGTATTTATCAGTCTGGGACCCAGGTTTGAAAAATGTACTTCTTTGCATGCCACCTAGATAACATTGGACTTTTTCCCCCTCAAGCAAATTGTACTTTAGCTCATTTGTGTATGGAATGTAACCCAATGTGTTTGCTCTTTTCAACAATCTAATGTCTTAACTGATTACATTATCTATATGGAAAAATATAGTAGTCATGAAATATGTTTTTGAGGATATGGTGGGTTTTTTAAAATTTTGAAGCAAGGCGATGGCTTCATAACTGGGGTTAATATGCCCTTTTGACATAGAGCCTGTAAATAATAATAATAATAATAATAATAATAATAATAATAATAATACTTTATTTATACCCCGCCACCATCTCCCCAAGGGACTCGGGTCGGCTTACATGAGGCCAAGCCCAACAACACATCAATAAAACAAGAAAGCAATAAACAAAAACAATACAATTAATATAAATCTCATATAAACATTGACACACAAGGATTTAAAAACCTGTGGCTGGGCCAAATGTAATAGTTTAAAATTAAAAAATAAATGCTGGGCATGATAATAGTATTAATACTGGTTTAACCTTAATGTTGAGTTTCATTGAAACAATGGAAGTCATGTCACTGAAATTTGAATTTTAAATAAATGTAATATTAGATTCCCCACCCCCCACCCCCATTCTTTTGCAGTATGAAGCTAGAGTTCGTTTAGACAGGCTTTCTGGAAATTCTGCTATAAGTTCAGCTGATTTATTTGAAGATCAGAAGACGTCACCTTCAGGTATGGAAAAAATTAAGTAGAGTTTTTAGATAGTCTAAGGATATAGAATATTCTTCTGATAAAGTCATTCACAACGAGTGGAACTGTGACTTTCCTTGATCTCAACACTGGTCCTTTTGGTGCAGCCTACAATCGCATTGGCTTTTTTAGCTGTCTCATTACACTGTTGACTCATGTTCAGCTTGTGATCTTCTGAGATTTTGGCCCAGCTTTCTAACCTGTCAAGATCATTTTAAATTATGATCCTGCCCTCTGGGGCATTAGCTTTCCCTCCCTTGGTCTGCAGATTTGATAACCATGCCTTTTTATCCCATCCTCCAAGTCATTGGTAAGAATGTTGAATAGCACTGGGCCCAGGACTGAAACCTGTGGCACCCCATTGATCCTTCTCTCCAGGATGAAAAGGAGCCATTGGTAAGCACTCTTGGACTCAGCCAGTTAACCAATGCCCAAGCCACCTAAAACCAATTCTCAATCCACCTAATTGTAGCACTGTCCAGCCCACATTTTATTAGCTTCTTTGTGAGAATATCATGGGGAACCTTGTCAAAGGCCTTACTGCAATCGAGATACGCTATATCTACAGTATTCCCTACATTTGATAACTCTATAAAAAAAAGAGAGAACTTGGTAGGATATAATTAAGCAGAGCCCTAAATGCAGACTAAGATGTGGCACTCATTTACGCAAATGTGATCCTGCAACATGTGGCTGCTTCCTTTAAGACTGTGAAGACTTGTATTGTGAATATTTGTTTTTAGCCAGTGGAAAAGGAGACTTCATTAATGTATTAATTCCTGTTAGCACCCAGAAGAAGCAAAATATGTTATTTAGAATCGCCCTCTATTGGTCATCATCTCTTTCTCCTCCAGATCTTATTGCCTTACCCAGAAAAAGTTATATGTGTATCTCTTTTCTTTTTTCTGACTTGAATTAGCTTTCTTTCTTTCTCCCTCCCTCCCTCTCTCCTTTCTTCCTTCCTTTCTTCCTTCCTTCCTTTCTTTCTTTCTTTCTCCTTTCTTAATCCTATATATACGAGGGGTATTTTTTAAATAAGGTCCGTTTGAACATAAGTACACAACGAAAGTTTATTTCAAAAAAGTTAATTTATTTTCAGAAAGTACGTACTTCACTCTATTTTTCGACATAGTTGCCAAGTTTGTTCAAACACTTATCATACCTCTGAACCAATTTTAAAATACCCTCTTCATAAAAACTTGCTGCCACCAAAAGCCACCAAATCGACCGGAGTGGTCCTCATCATGGACGTTGTCACGGCCATCTTTGAATTGTCGTACCCACTTACGCACTTTGCTTTCACTCATAACAGTATCACCGTACACTTCATAAATCTGTCGATGAATTTCTGTAGCAGGCGGGTTCCTTGCTGACCAAAACCGTATCACTGAGCGAGCCTCACATGCGGTGGGTGAGTTGAAAGTCTTAAACATTTTTAAAGCACAGAACAGAACCGTACAGGTTAGCTACAGAGTGGAAACTGAGCACAGTTGTTCCCGAGGCATGCCGGTACACGACGCACGTGCTCATTGCGGTATGCGCACGAACTACTAGTGTCTACAACAAAACAGACCTTACTTAAAAAATACCCCTTATATATTTACAAAACTTACATTTTATTAGTTCTCTCTTGCTAGCCCCTCTCCAATTTTATTTTTCTCTCCTTTCATGCCTCTATTTCACTATGCCCTTGAAATGAGGAAGGTTAAAGCCCAGTTCACTTAAGCTTAGTTCGGTTTTCAGAAATCTCCTGCCCCAAGGTACATCTGTGTAATTTGGGACATATGCTGGCCTAGGAGTCATGAAGATGCACACACAATGGAAACACACACATACGCTTCTTTTATTCTAATCCCTAGGTCTTCCTCCCGTATCTCTCTTAATGTTACGTCCTTTATTTTTTCCCCTGAATATCAATTATTATCTTATACAATTTGCTAGTTATTCCTTTCAGCTTGTGGTATCCTCCTGTCGCTCTTTCTTTATGTATCATTTGTTCAACTTGTGTAAGTTTGCCTCCTTCCTCATTATTTTTTATCCAATTCTTGAACCATTGCTCTAACTGTAGACAATGGAACCATGAGAGTTTAATATCTCTAAATTCTCTCAATATAGTTTCCTTCCTCATGTTTGCTTTTATCTAATCCCAATTTTATCCAATCTCCAAAAGACACTTTTTAAGTTGAGGGTCCACTGTACCTTCAACATCAATACTATGCTGTCTGAAAACTCTTCATGCTCTGCTCACACTCTGCCTCTTCCTCTTGATGGCAAAGGTTGTATTAAATCAGACTTGGCTTCATGCAGGGGTGAAAAGATGTGAATATGGCTCAAAAAAGTATACATTCTGAATCCTAAGGCAGTGGAGTTTCTCAAATTTCCTCTTATTGATGGGTCAATGTAAACTTCCCTCCTGGTTGTTCTGGACAGCCAGACACTGAGATTCTTCTCTTATAAATCTAGATAAGAAGAGGGCAGATGCAGCTCTTAAATGCTCCTATGAGGTATTTGCCCTCTGTATCTGGGTCTCCTCTACAGCCTCCCTGATATCAAGTGCAGCCATGTCCTGGATATTTTCACTAAACAAAATTTAGACGCAAAATCTCTGCACAGGTCTCTTCAAGAGATCTATAAATCCTTAGCCTTCATAGCAGAAGACACTAGACACTCATTATTATTATCATCTTTCTTTATCTCTACAGCCACAGTAACTGGAAGATCAGTCTCATTGGAATACCGACATGTAATCCCAAACAAATCTTGCCTCAGTCCACTTTGTTCATAATTTGCTTTTAGAAAGAGATGCTTTTTAACAGCATCCTCATAGAAAACAAAAATAACAAGAAGGCAAAAGAAGGAGGCAAAAATAATATTTAAGCACCTACTTTTAGTCGCTTTGTCTCTTTTGCCCTATTTCCTGCCCTCGCAACTTTAGAACATCTGGAATGTGTGATTGGCCGGACATTTGAAGCCCATTGTAGATTAAACTTCCAAATCAGATATCAAAATATGCAACAGTACACAGCAAAGGACATTTTGCACATGTTCACTAAAAATAAGAATCTCACAACTTTGTAAGTCTACCAGAAACTGGCTGATGATTACTCTGTAGACCAATTTGTTTTTCCTACTTATTCTTTGAATGGAGGAGAGGGAAAATCCAGGAAACTTTAGGTTCACATTCTCTGAAAGCTTACTTGTCATACTTTTGTATAATAAAAGTAATGATTTAACTTTTAAAAAATGGAATTTTTTAATAAATTGTGTATTTTGCTCCTCTATTTTACAGTTCTAGATGTTGAAGCATTTCTCCAATCTTTTTTTGTTTGTCCTAGATGTGACAATGTATGGATGAAATACAGAAATTCAATTTTTTCACTTTTTCACAATGGCAGGGGTGTAATAAAATTCCATATCTTCTGAACAACTCTGATGCATTATTTTGTGAGACTGTTGAAAATTTTATCCTTGAGATTAGTAATTTTTAAATATGTTATCTGTGACTTCCTCTTGTTGTATATACCTGTGTTATATGCCAATTTTGTTGTTATATGCCAATAAAGGCTGTGTGTGTAAGCTCTAGATGTTTCAACTAAGTTTTGAAGCCTCTTCGTGCAACCTATACTGATCTTTTAAGTCTGGAAACTCCTACATATTTTCCTATGCATCTCACCATCTTTTTTCTTGTTTTGTTTTGTTTTGGTTTTTTTTTTTTTTTGCTTCTTTAGGCAGTTATAATATTTCAAATGTCCTTCCCAACGCTCCTGATATGGCTCAATTTAAAAAAGGAGTAAAATCAGTCGCTGGAAGGCTTTCGGTGCTGGCAAATGGAGTCATGACTTCTATCCAGGTTAGTAAACTTACACAAAAGCTACTAATGTTCCCTTCTAAGAATCTGAAGCGGTTTGGATTTATTATCTTCCACAGAGAACAGGCTCAAAACATTATCCAGCTTAGAAGCATGTTCCTTATGTAGAATCTGAAGATTTAGTCCTGTGATTGTTTTTGTTACTGTCCTGGATGCCTTTAGCTGAGAAAATGTAATTGAGAAATTAGGTGAGATTGCATTGAGCATACATAAAACTAGACGTATTCTTAGTTGTATGTTATGATAATCTGCATGGTAACACAATCATCAGATGTGTTTTTGACCAAAGGTGGAGCAGTGTTGCATCTAGTGAGTCTCAAACCAGGGATCTCAAATGTTTGTGGGGAAGGTTTAGAATTTTGAAGATGTGACCTTGTGTACCACCAAAATGGAGGGGAGTTACAATAATATTTACAGCCCCCCCCCCCCAAGTGAGTGAATTGAGCAATTGGGAGATAAGGAAAATATTCCATTGAACTTCTTATTCTGGCATAGTAACTGTGTTGGGATTTGTCGGAACCCAGCTTTAAAGAGCCAGACTCAGGAGTTTGTCCAAAAGTAAAGTTTATTAACACAAAACAAAAGGGACTCAGAGACACTTCCTTCAGTGTCCCAGGTCAAAACTCACAAGTAGCAGCAGTTCAAAAAACAAACTAAGGCAATTATCCGGAGAAAAGATCCGGATTAAACTGAACTGCTTCAAAAGTCACGCAAAGTAGCACAGCAAGTAAAGGGTGAACAAAGAGCCGCAAAGGAGGAAACGTAGTCAAACGAAGTCCAAGGTCGAAGTAAGCCAAGTCCGAAGTTGCGAGGTTCCAAAGTCCACGTAGGCAGCGTCGTAGTCAAAAACCGGACCAAAGTCAAAGCAGGGGAAATCCGCACTCATGAGAATCCAAGCCAAGTTGTAACACGAATGGAAGCAGCAACCTGCAGATCCAGGACCCAAACCCAACATGAAAGCGGCAGCGACAAATCCCAAGGCACGAAACCAACACTTTGCCTTCTGCAAAGATTCTCCATTTCAGTGCCTACACACCTGAACTCTGATGCCCATCCCTCCAACTCCTCCACCTCTTGTTAAGACTTAGATCTCCCCAAGACTCAGTAGTATCTCCTGATTGCCAATCCCCACCACCAGAAAACCCCACAAATGTGTCACTAGACGTTGGCTGAGTACATACATCTCGAACCTCTTGAACCTTGGCCCAATCCAGTGTGTCAGCCCCATCCCCGTCACTCCCAGACCCATCACTCCCAGAGAAACCCATGAAAGACTCTTCATCTGTGGGAGCAGTAAGTATATCCTGGATCTTCTTCCTTTGTCGCTCCTCATCCAATTCCTGCTCCCGAGTAACCCTCTTAGTTTCCCTATTCACATCCACTGTATCTCCTTCCTCTCCCTCACTCATTGATCCTTCGCTCTCAGAAAACCCTTCGAAGGAGTCTTCGTCGGTAGGTGACATAAGTATATCCTGGATCCTTTTCCTTTGTTGTTCCTCATCTAACTCTTGCTCACGAGCACTCCTTTTCCCCCTTCTGACACCCATACTACCACTTGCAGTGTTACTAACAAGGCTCTACTACAACAGGATTGGTGCTAAGATACAGATTTTAATTTGTTCTGATTTCGTTGTATTGCTTGGGTTTTGGAATTTTTGAAATATATTACATTATATGTATGTTCTATGTTCTAACTTTGCACAAATGTAGTGTTTTTCTTCCTCACTAAACATTTAACTCTTTTTTTTCATTTCCTTCTTCCCAGGACCGTTATGGCTCTTAACTACTTTTATTCAACTGACTGGAGACATAGAAGACTTTTTTTCCAAATATACTTCAGCCAGTGGTCATACTGTTGATTTTACACAAAGGCTGCCTTAAGGCTGTAGAATATTTTATTCCAATGATTTGGCACCTGTATTTTACCACATATCTTTTCTGCTTCCTAGCATCTTTCATTTAATGTAGTTACTACTTATCACTTTTGCTTTTATTATATTATAGCTGTATCTCCTGCTGTTCATGTCTACCATTATTATGCTACGAATGGTATCCTTGTGGTTGTTATGGCTACTTTGGTTCTGGGACCAGACGACAAATGCTATTTTTTCTTACACAGGATGGTTGCCATGTACCTATAAAGCCCTTTTGGTAAACTTTAGTTATATGATCTGAAGAGAAACCCAAGTATGTAAACTTGAGCGGTTTCTTGCAGAAAATGTTGCCAGCTTTTATCTCAAAATTGGGCCTGTCCATATGTTCCTGGGAGTGGGTTTCAATCTTGTGCCATTTATTTTCTATGGTTCCTGGAAAAAGGCCTCCTTCATACTTAACACTGAACTGCCTACCTCAAAAATGGTCCAAAATATTCACTTGTGCTCCAGAGAGGCTTCTGGGGTTGATGAGAAAGAAAATTATCAAAAAATTGCGGACAGAGTTTAGGGTCTTAGGGATACTCACCCTAGAGAACATCTTTTGGGTGGAAAGGAAGTTCAAGTCCTGTAAAGATAATTTAATCCATTGGAGATGTTGCCGATTTGGATACTAAGGGGACTTTCCGATTTGAGCATTATCTTCTTGGGCTGGTGAAGGAGTGGAGAGAATTGCAAGACCAGTACGTGCTCCTATATACTTGCTGCACAAGAATGAGAAGGAGTTGGGATGGAGGAGTAGAAAAGAGACATGGCCCAACACAGAGTTGTGCATCTATTGATTTTAGTGGGTGAAAATGTGTTTAACTATGATATATTTGTAATCAAAGGAAATACTGAGGTGAGAGTTAAACACTGTATTCAGTATGAAAGTGCTATGATCTTTAAAACAATGGTTCAATGAAAGCAGTGATGTAATTTTTCTGAGAAAAAGCACAACTAATTTGTCATATGTTTAAAATCTTATTTTCATGTCTTGACACCTATTTATTCATAACTATTTTTTTCTGTATTGCGATTAGATGCTTTAAATGCCTTTAAACAATCAATAGGGTGTATGATATCAAATATATAGATAAGGGAGGAGGGATGGAAAATAGAATATGGTAAATGAAGGGCTAAACAAGAATAATCTAATAGAATGTTTAAACGCTGTAAGAATTCTAGTACTATCTTGTGGATGTAAAAAGAAGTCCTAAATATGTACATAAAAAGGATATACTGTGGCTGTGTTTTAGACAGCCTAGAGCTGTAATTGTTCAGAATAAACTAAATCTAAACTGTTATTTGAAAGATTGCCAGAAAAACTTCACTCTACCACCTCTGTGTCTGTTTCTGGAAGAGCTGTCATTTCAATAACATCTGAAATAAATTCTCGTTTTACATGTCAAATGATTTCCAATATTTTTAATAGCAAGTTTACATTACACTGTTCAACGGAGAAAATGTTTCGGCCCTGAAAATATTGTTCTTTTATTATTTTGGGGTGCTGAAAACGAAAATGACATTTAAAAATGTATATTGGCTCTAGTTTTTATGATATAAGCAATCACGTGATCACGTATGGTTGAAAAAATGCATGTTGCGACTTACACTATGGAAGATTCTAGAAAGTTGCGGGCCTGAAAATAGCTGTTCTTTTATGATTTTGGGGTGCTGAAAACGAAAATGACATTTAAAAATGTATATTGGCTCTAGTTTTTATGATATAAGCAATCACGTGATCACGTATGGTTGAAAAAAATGCATGTTGCGACTTACACTATGGAAGATTCTAGAATACTCTAGAAAGTTTGATGACGCAGTATTAGTGCCGTGTGCAAAAGCCAGAAAGCCCTATATAAGGCCAGACTTTTGAACGGTGAGGGTCAGTCAGTTGAAGACTGAGACAGTATCGTTAAACATCGTTTTACATTGTTCTTTTTACTGTAGTTATGCCTCGCACGTGTGTAAATAAAGCACTATGGAAAAAAGATATCAAGGCAAATGGACTCCGTCAATGCTGTCAGACTACTGCTGGAGCATTGTAAGAGACAATCCTTTCCTTGAATACAAAAGAAAAGTCAAGAGAAGCAAACAGGATAAAAACTAAAGTCACGATTAAAGCGACATTTAAACTTTCAGACTTTTCAACTGCATTAGGCCTACTAATATAGTTTCTTGCTGCACAAACATAAACAATAGACTAATTAAATAAATATTTCTCATGTATAAACTATTGGCAATATAATTTGACTAAAATTTAGTAAATATTCACGGTTTATATACATGCAGTAAGGTTAGGCGCATTATCATAATATTAACGAATTACCTATTGTGGAGAAAATTGAAATAGCTGTTGCATAAAAACCAGAGCCAATTAACACATTTAATTATTATATTTGAATTCAGCATGTTAAATTTATTAAGAAACGGCACATTTCGTTTCCGTAACTGAGAAAAACTGAAAATTTGTAGAACAGTGTTATTAACACATTGAGAGGAAGGGGGGGGGGTCATATTTCCACAGGTCCGCAGTTTGGGTGTCCTCTTGGATTCTTCGCTCACACTTGAGGCTCAGGTGTCGGCGGTATCCGGGAGGGCCTTTGCGCAACTGAGACTTGTGCGCCAACTGCGACCATACCTCGTGAAGGCTGATCTGGCCGGGGTGGTCCACGCCTTGGTCACCTCTAGAATGGATTACTGCAATGCGCTCTACGTGGGGCTGCCCTTGAAGACGGCTCGGAAACTGCAATTGGTCCAGCGGGCAGCAGCCAGGATGCTAACTGGAGCTCATTATCAAGAGAGGTCTACCCCTCTGTTTAAGGAGCTCCACTGGCTGCCATTTATTTTCCGAGCCCAATTCAAGGTGCAGGTGCTCACCTACAAAGCCCTAAACGGTTTGGGACCACCCTACCTGCGTGACCGCATCTCCATCTACGAACCCACACGCTCGCTTCGATCATCTGGGGAGGCCCTGCTCGTGATCCCACCTACGTCGCAAGCGCGCTTGGTGGGGACACGGGACAGGGCCTTTTCCGTGGTGGCCCCCCGACTCTGGAACGCCCTTCCAAAAGATCTCCGACAGGCCCCTACATTAGCAGTTTTCAGGAGGAATTTGAAAACCTGGCTGTTCCGTTGTGCCTTCTCGGATTAGGAATCCCCATCCCAAGTCCCAGTGGCATTTTAGCACAATTAACATCGCTGCACACCGCACTTTTTAATTTCCACGCCCCTCCTGCCATTCCAGCATTTTTAACCTTGTACCCATTTACGCCGGCCGAACCAGTTTTAAAATGTCTTGATGTATTGTCATTGCTGTTTTGCTTAATTGTTGATTTGTTTTGTTTTGCTATGTTATGTTTTCTATTATATTGTGTTTGTGGCTTCGGCCTGTGTAAGCCGCATCGAGTCCTTCGGGAGATGCTCGCGGGGTACAAATAAAGTTAATAATAATAATAATAATAATAATAATAATAATAATAATATTTCGCCAGCAAAGACCCATTGAGCAGTAATGACTGGTCATGACTCTGGTGTAAATCCAGTTAAAGAGTAGACTTCAAAAAGCAAAAAACAAAAAACTACCAAGAAATGCACCTTGATCTTATCAGGTTTGATAGGTTACATTAGTTTCAAGTACAGTGACTCCTTGGTATCTGCTGGGATTTGGCTCCAAGACCCTGGTGGAGACCAAAATCCATGGAGGCTGATGTCCTATTATAGAAAGTTGTGTAGTGAAATGCTGTTCCTTGTATACATTGACAAAATCAAGGTTTTACTTTTGAAATTCCTTTTTTTGAATATTTTCAAGCTGTGACTGGTTGAATCTGTGGACACAGGATGCTGGCTGTATAGATAAGTGGTTCTCAACCTGTGGGTCCCCAGGTGTTTTGGCCTACAACTCCCAGAAATCCCAGCCAGTTTACCAGCAGTTAGGATTTCTGGGAATTGAAGGTCAAAACATCTGGGGACCCACAGGTTGAGAATCACTAGTATAGATAATCCATCTCTGCCTTTTTTTTTTTTGGAGTGTGGGAAGAGAAGTAGGATTGGCACATAGCTTTAATGAACAAAGAAACTAGACAGAGTCTGCACCTTCTAAACTTGGTATGAATCTGAAGTCATACCTTCAGAAAATTCTGGTTGCAACAGACAAATGTTTGTATAAGAAAGCTGAACTTGAAAACTGCAAATTGGGATTGGGTGGAAAGGAAAGTCCATTGTCACATACAAAACACGCTTCCATGGAAAACAATGCAAATTTTGCATCTATTAGAGACATGACATGGATTCTGCTACTGAGAACATCAAGTTTAGACATTCTGATTGGTGAGATCAGATACAACTGTATGTGACAGGGAACAGATGTGTGTTCTCTAGATAAATAACTCCTCAATTCTTATAAATATTTACGGGGTTTACAATGGTTGTATTGTAAGCTATATATTCTCTACCACATGTTCTCCTAGAGCAGAATGCTTCTATCTTATGAAGCATTATGAAAGCAAAAATGTACGATGCAGGGAAATAAAATATTCAGAGTAATGCTCTATACTGACTAGAACATTTTTCCCTAGAGCAGATTACCGCCCTCTTACACAGGATGTTAAAGGCCTTTTATGCAGGCCTGTTGCCAGGATTTTGATTGGGATCTACCCTAGCAAACCTTTTGTAATGTTATTCCAATACCACCATGCATATGGGATATATTGAGCATGGTGATCAGATCATGATATGAATAAACATAACAGTTTAAATATTAAATATTATTTATTTACTTTCATTAACAAAATGTTTAAAATACTTTTTGACTTATTTTTTACTTTACAGCAACAGTCTTCTTTTCTTCTCCCCAATTATTTTTTCTGGTTTGATAGTGATGTCCCGATGGATAATAATAATAATAATAATAATAATAATAATAATAATAATAATAATAACTTTATTTATATACCGCTCTATGGATGGAAATCATTGCTAGTCCACTAAGTCTCTGGTCTGTCATTAAACTTCTAGATACACTTTTCACTCTTTTTGGTTGAAAACAATCTTTCCACACTGCATGTCATTAGTGGTAGAGTAGCTAACACAGAGGCGGCATTCTCTTTGTCACTTGGGTTGTTGTCACTCGCCCCTTCCTCTCCCGGCACCGAAGGCTGAAACCAGGGGCACCGAAAAGGAAATAATAAATAATAATAAACTTTATTTCTACTCCCACCACCATCTCCCCGACGGGGACTTGGAGCAGCTTACATGGGGCCAAGCCCGGACAACATAATACAGCAATAAAATCAAAACATGTACAGCAAACAACAACAACAACATCAAAATAACATTAAAAGGAAAAAAAATCATAAGATAAATATTCCAATAAACACAATCACAGTAAGGATAACAATGGGCGGGCCACATATTCAGGATAAAAACAGTTAACAAACTATAATGAGATAAAATAGGAGCGAAGCATTTATATAGAACTCATAAAACACACAGAGTTGTGAGGCTGAACATCGTATTTGAAGGGCACGAACTCCATTAGCAGAAAACATTGAGGGTTGCAGAATATCATGCTGTGCACCTACTCACCAAAGGCGCAGTGGAAAAGCCAGGTTTTGAGGTTCTTTTTAAACGTTTCTAGTGAAGAGGCTTTCCTGATCTTCCCAGGTAAGGAATTCCAAAGTTGGGGGGCCACAGAGGAGAAGGCTCTCTCCCTTGTGCCCACAAGAGAAGCTTGCGAGATTGGTAAAGGCGAAAGGAGGACCTCCCCCGAGGAATGAAGGGCCCGGGTTGGTACGTCGAGAGAGATACGGTCACTCATAAAAGAGAGTGTGCCGAGGGCCCAGGCGTGGACAAGGACACCACCGTGCCACGTACCAGTAATGCCTTCTCATGGACCACCCTGAAAATTTTTTGGGGGGGAAGCCCCCCACCACCCCCACCCCCTGTCTACATGCCTGTTTTATGGATCATTCCTGATTCCCTTGTGTGGAAAGAGTTATGGTTTCATAATGTTGTTGGAATAAATGATTTCCTAGCAAATAAATAGAGCTGTAAGAAGCTCAAAGTATGTTTAGTCGTGGCGTAGGTTTGTTATGTTTTCATGAAGGAACCAGTTCAAAATAACATCCATTTCCTCTGGCTTACAAAGGAAAAGGTTGCAAAATAAAAGAGCTGAAAGAAATCTTTAATTAAAATAATGTCTGTAAATTACCTGCTTCCCTCTTTGATCTCGCCCAAGTTTTTAGTTTTAATCAGTTTGTCTTCCTGATTGCTACATGTCGCCCACCTATTATTATTGTGCCTGTGCATACTTTTTATTTTTCATATTGTTATGTATTCATGTGTTTTATTTAACTATGATGTTGTTTATTGTCTGCGATTTCGGTTTGTGTTTTGGTTTTCTTTATTGT